CTGTTATTATTATCATTTGGCTGATATTCTTTTACATAATCATAACAAAATTTAAAAATATCTTTGGGACAAATTGAGAATACTAATTTCTTTATTTGTAAAAAATGAAAGAAGAATAAAAAAAAAAATATTTACCGAACTTTCAAAAACAAAATACTGTCCGTGACATTCACGTGCGAAACGTTTCGTTTTATCTGTACAGTAGAAAAATTTCCCTTTGAAAAGTTGCACAGCTATGACACCAAAAATGAATTGAAATAAAATGTAAACTATAAGAATATTGAAGACATTTTTTAGCGAATTCACCACACAATCGAATACTGCCTGTAAAATAAATTAATATCATTTTTATCAATTACAGACGGAGTTATTTTTCAATTTATGCATGTTTTAGTTATGAATTTTCGTTAAATCGTCAAATATCGCTTGTTATTTGACGATTTTTGCTTAGATGATAAAAATTGCTTGGTTTTCAATGAAAACATTTGCTTGATGTTAAATGTTGAAATAATTTACCTTTTAAATATAAATAAATCTAATAAAAAAATTATCCAATAATTACAAAAATAATTTGTTAATTTAGGATTAAAAAAAGCAAAGATTATAAAGGAAGTTAGACTTTTAGCTTTGGTATTCGCTTGATTGTTTTAAGTGGTCTTAGCACTCGCAATACCCTCAGTGATTTGATAGTGTTCAAATTCTTGCCAGCTGAGCCTTCAGCGCCGCTAAAAAAAATAAAATAAAATAAATTATTTCCGAAATTTTAATCTAAAAATGAAGTTACAAATTTGTTTCAAAAATATCTCAATTTAAAACAAAATGAATTGTTTACTACAAAATATATGATAGTACAATAAATGAATATGCAAAAAGGCGAACTTACGCAAATGAAAAAGCAACGAGAGCGCAAAAGACGACAATACCATCTAATAAATTCCAAAAATCACGACAATATGAGCCCCGATGCAGTAATACCCCTTGGTCTATTAGCTAAAATATTAAATTTTGACTAAAATGCTAAATTTTAAATATTACTAAATTATAAAAAAGATGAAGGTTGAATAATCGTTTAATCTATTACTGTAAATTAGTATTAAGCATTGTTATTATTAAAAGTTAGACTAAGTATATAATATTCATGATAATAAATAATTTTTGATTGAAAGTTTGCAGACTTTATAAAAAAAAATCAAAATTGAAATGTTATGAAGTTTCGTCAAAAATGAAAAATAAAAAAGGCAAAGTAAATTACTTAAATCACCAATCAATAGCTAAATATTCTCTAGAAATTTTTGATTTCACATTAAAATTAATTCATTCATACAAAAGTTAATTTAATATAAATGTGTAAAAATTCTACTTTAAGGCACATTTCCAAAGCAAAAACACCCGTGAAACAGTAATCCATGTATTGAAGCACTTTATTCCTCGGAGCATCCTCATCTACCGGATCTTCTGCCGAGAGTGCTATACTGGAGAAGCATATCACGCCCATTACTAGCATTTCGAAATATTTCGTCGATACTACCGAATGCACCAACACACGAAATCTGTAAATTTGTTGCCAACACTCTAAGGTTAAATTTTGAAAATTTAAACATTTCAAAGAAATTAATAAGCATTGGAAAGTGTTAAAGGAATGCATTAAATATTAGATGGCATAAAATTTGTTAAATACCAATGATTTGTTAATAATTTTAAGAATTAAAAAAGAGTTTGAATGATATTAAGCTTACGGATTTGTTGGTGAAAAGATAAACATGGAAGAGAATGGTACCATAGGTTTTGGACCACCAAATGGACTTTCTTCTTCCTCATATTCCTCTGAAAATATTTGTTTTTTTTTAATTTAAATAAGAATTATTTTAATATAAGAAATAATTACTGATATATATTTTTAAGATATAACAATACATGCATTAATAACATTTATTTTGCAAATTCAATAGAACTTATGAATAAATTAACATTTAACGCTTTGTATGCAAACAAGCAAAATTATGCATATGATCATTTTGGTCAGACTTAAAAGCAGAAAGTTAAATTTTACAAGCAATTCTAATCGCGTAATTAAATAAGATTAGCTGAGTACTTTAAAAATGTTTCGTTTTCAATGAAAAATTGTAGTAAAATTAATTAATTGGTAATATTTTAATTGATAAAATTATGTTGGTTTAAAAAAAAAAAAAGTAATACCGTCTATTTCACGTTGCGTTTCCGATATATTACCGCCCGTTTTACCTTCCATATCGATAGCACATTGTTCGCTGTCCTCAAATTTTCATCACATTACAGTACAATATTTTACGTTATTTTATTCATAATAATACCTATTTTAATTTTATGTCAAAACATAAACAATCAGAAAGTTATAATTATATTACGAGACGTAAAGTTTACACGTACAATTTACATATACATCAATTACGGAGAGTACCTGCTCATCGAGACTTTCCGAATCATCCGGCAACTCATTAGCTCGTTCATCCGCTTCCTCAGCTGCTGTTAATTCTTGTGCATTTGCTAAATTATCCACGGCAATAGCCAAAAAAACATTTAACAAAGTATCTGTAAAATAAATAAATTCAAAAATTTTTTTCATCATCAAAGAAATAATTTTAATTTGAATAAAATAGTAAATTTATTAACTTACAATTGCCAAAAAGTACGAGTACAATGAAATATATGCAATAAACCATGCCACCACCATATATACCACCCTGTGATTCAATTGCTAAATACATCACTTCATTCCAATCCTCTCCCGTTAGTATCTGAAAAATGAGTTTTTTTTTTTTTTTTTAATTTATTCATTTAGTAATTCTTTATTTATTACTTGTCAGTTGTTCATCTAATATTTGTATATCTGTTATTTATCCAAAAATGGACATATTAACAAATAGTTAAAGAAAATATTTTTTATTGATTTCTTTATCACAACAAAATTTAATACTAGAAAAACATATAAACATAAAATAACTTCAGAATTAAAAAGGCTTGCAAATTTACACGGAATAAATTATGATAAGATTAGTTTCATACGAATCTTGAAACAATTTGTGCGTTGAATAAAAATTCATTTATTATCTAAAGAACATGCTACCATTTCTGTTATCTTATGATTGGCTAACTTATCATAAGCCACCCTAATTCTATCATTCTTCCATGATGTCTATTATTGATCATATCAATTTTATTTTGGAACGAATAAATCTCGTTCAGCAGTCATTCATCAATGAAAGAATAAATAAGATTGTACTTCAAAAAAAATGTCAATTATATAAATATACGGTCAGATCATCAATCATTAATTATTATATTTAATTGCACAGCAAATTTTATTAAAATAATATATTTAAAGCACCAACCTGGAAGACTGTAATTAAGGCCACGGGAAATGTATCAAAATGAGTATATGGATGTCCGGATGGAAAACTAAATCTGAAATTAAAATAAGATGATAAATTGTTATTTAAAAAATTTTCTTTTTCCCAAAACTTCAAATAGATCAGATGATTATTTTACGTTGGAGCGATAATAGCTTTAAGATTTAACAAAATTTTGTTAACTTTTACATAGTCACTAAGTGCTCTCCTAATTACTGAAAATAAAAATGGTAATTATTTCAATCTCCTGATCAAGGTCACGTGTCTTATTTGTTGACAATGATCATATGCCTTATCATTCGATGATGATATTTCATTTTTTGATCAAGATTTTGTTCTTGTTTAATTAGAGAATACTTTCTAAATATGATTCTTTTCCCGGAATTATAAGGCAATTAATTAATTTTTATCCATAATTTTTGATTTTTTTATTTATCATATTAAGAACAAGTTTTAAGAAACACTTACTTTCCACCGAACAATTGCATACCCAACAAGGCAAAAATAAGAATGAATAAGAAGAGGAGGAATAATAATGAGAGAATAGAACGCATTGAATTCATAAGTGAACGTACAAGGTTACGTAATGATACCCAGTACCTGAGCAAATTGTAGTACATTATACTTTACTCATTCAACAAGTTTACATTAGCAGCTAACATTTTTTTTTTTGTTCCTCATTTTAGGACGAAAGAAGAATATGCTTATTGTGATATTAATGACAAATCCCTGATTATGATAATATTTACGCCGAAGAAAAAAAAGGACGAAAATACGCAGCATATCAAATGCGCAAATGCCACATAATCTCCTGAGGAATATTACTTGTTATTCACATAATAATATGTCTGTCACCTGAGGAATATTACTTATTATTCTCGATATAGTCACTTTTCTATTCTTTTCAAATTATAATTCAGAAAGAAAAAAAAAGAAAACACTTACGAAGTGAGCTTGAAGATGCGCAATAATCGTAAGGCTCGAAGTACGGAAATACCAAAAGAGCCACCCTTCAATTCTGCCCAAATTATTTCAAATGCACTGCCAACAATAACGATGCAATCGAAACGATTGAATTTTGATGCGAAGTAAACGCGATGACCCATTGCAAATAGTTTCATTAACATTTCACAAATAAATATCCCGGAAAATACATATTCCGCATATTCTGTAATATATATTCGTCAAATAAATTCCGCAAGTTTAGCTTCAGTGGAAATTTTCGTCAACTATTAACTAATGCTAACTATTTGTTTATTCATGAAAAAATGGTATATGAACAAAAATTGAAATATGTTTTATAGGGATTTTCAGTATTAAATAATCCATCACTTCAGTTGATCTGTTAGAAATTTGAATTAATTTTAGGGACAATTTTAATCTACAGTTAAATCAAAATTTGCTTCAATTATAATCCTTTTTACTAGAAATTTATTTGTAACATTTTTGACAAACGATTTAACAGTCGTTTGCTATCATGTCTTGAAATTTCTTAAGAAATTGCCGGAATTAAAATTTTCAGATTTGTAAAATTATAAGGTAAAATTTCGAATTCAACAAGGACATACTTAGAAATTCGGTGAACCATTCCGGTTGTCCGTAATGTTCGGAAGCAACGCAAGCAGTATTGAGAAAGACTAATGTTATAACCAGCCAATAAAATACTTGACTTTTTACAATAAATCTCATTTGAACCCTTGAAAATTGCATTTTAGTAAATTTTAGTAAAAAAAAATATTGCATTCTTTATTAAAAAAGTTACATCCACGAAAATTTAAATATGCTCAAATTTAATTTGACAACAACTTTTTTCAATTCAATATCTTATTCAATTAGATTTTTTAATTATCTCATTTTACCAATTAAGCAAATTAAACTGCTCATGTGTAAAGAGAATGTATGTGGATAACGACTTGATTATTTTTCTGATTAGCCCGAATTACATCTTTATCATGATCTTAATCAGTTACAATTATGATTGTCTTATCATAATACTTCTCATATTATCTAATAACTTTACATGATAATGTTTTGTAATTTAAATAATTAAAATTCAAACCTCATATGTCGTATTTTCTTGCATATTGATCCGCAACAAGTTCGTCTTGCTTTTTTACCTTAATTAATTTTTTTCGTAATTTTCATTAAAAATAAATCCAACAAAAAATGAAAGAAAATTTTGCTAGCCTAAAAATATACATTCATTAAATAAATGTAATAAATTATATACACATACGACAATTCGAAAAATTTACAAGTAAATGTTTCTCACATATAGGTAAACGTCTTTTTTTTTTTTAATTTTATAAATCTATTATAAAATCAAAAATTTTACATGCATTGATAGAGGAAACAGAGATTACCTTCACTATCGTCATTCAGGTAATCATCCTCATCCTCTTCCTCTTCCTCAATATCCTCCTCCGTTTCAGTACTTTGCCGTTTATTTGTTTGTTTTAATTTTTTTGTTGCAGTTCGCCGTCGTGCTACAAAATTCAGTTTCATTTAATTAAATATCAAATAATACAATTATGTTATTTAATAAAAACTTGTTTTTTTATGGATTTAATCTTTTATTAATGATAAGATTAAATTTTTTAATTAACGCTTATTATAAATTGAATATATGTAATATTAATATGCATTGTCAAACTTTTATCATAAATATTAATGTAATCAAACACAGCGTATTCTAATTTTGACTTCTTTTTTTAATTCAATTTAATAATACTGCATTATTTATTCCGATAAATCATTACTTTCCATAATGGCTGCTTTTTCCTCTTCAGTTGTTCGCTCCTCCTTCAAAATCACTTCTTCAGCGGTTAAAATCCATTCCAAATAACCGTTCAATTCACGTTCAATTTGTTGTTGTCTACGTAATTTCAAGAATTCTCGACGATTCTCAACTCTTTCACGTTCCTTCGCAAATTCGCTATAATTAGATGGTAACTTGGCAACATTTTAAAAATCTATACACAATAAACTTAAAATCGCATTGCTAATATAATTGAAAGAGAAAAACGCCTTTTTAATATAAATGTCAAAATTGAATTTCAAAATTTTAATCAAAAAATGGATTAAATAGCTTTTGGGTTATAATTACTTACTTAATGTTTTTATTTAATGTGCACATTCTCATTATTTTTTTTTTTTTGCAAAATTGCTGATATATTTATAACTATATCTTTGTAATCAAATCACATTTTGACATCGCATGTTAGCTTCAGTTTCGAGCTAATTATAAAAAATAACCGTAAAAATTAAGGATAAAGTAATTTTGCG